AAGAATCACAGCACAAAGAGCTACTGTAACCTAAAGTACAAAAATATAATATATTAAGTCTGTAAAGAATCACAGCACAAAGAGCTACTGTAACCTAAAGTACAAAAATATAATATATTAAGTCTGTAAAGAATCACAGCACCAAGAGCTACTGTAACCTAAAGAACTAAACATAACATGTTAAGTCTGTAAAATATCACAGCACCAAGAGCTACCATAACCTAAAGAACTGAAACATAACATGTTAAGTCTGTAAAATATCACAGCATGATAGAGCTAATACAACCTAAAGAACTGAAACCATAACATGTTAAGTCTGTAAAATATCACAGCACCAAGAGCTACCATAACCTAAAGAACTGAAACATAACATGTTAAGTCTGTAAAATATCACAGCACCAAGAGCTACCATAACCTAAAGAACTGAAACATAATATGTTAAGTCTGTCAAATATCACAGCATGATGAGCTAATACAACCTAAAGAACTGAAACATAATATGTTAAGTCTGTAAAATATCACAGCATGATGAGCTAATACAACCTAAGGAAAAGAACCATAATATGTTAAGTCTGCAAAGAATCACAGCTACCATAACACAGAAACATAATCTTGACCACAGGTGTGCTTGAGCTAAGTTAAACTATGAATAAACATTCTCTATCTTGTTCAGTGTCCAATTATATGACCATTACTGTATAATGTACTGGGATCACCACGAGAATGAAAGGTCGATGAGCCCCTATATTTTGGGAAGGAGTAATTTATTTACCAACTACACTAAAAGATTCAGTTCTCCAGATATGTCATCATACTAATTCATGGGACAGAATTACGTTTCAAATACAAATCTTTTTCTTTTTTTATAAAAAGACAAAATTAGTATTGATGATACTGTAACTTTGAAATTACAAACACCACGTTTAGACATTATATTTCAAAAATAAAATATGATAAAAACCAAAGAATAAACTTTGTCCAGGTTACATAAAAAGCAATGAGAATTTAGTGTGTTAAAATCTACAAAAAAAAAAACTTAAAAGGTGTAACAGGAAAGAAAAATTAATAGGTTCCCTTTTACACCTAAAATTGCAAAATTAACAGTCCTGCTTCTTTTGTATAATATGGCCTATTCTGGTCTTTACTATAAATTACTATGATAACAGTCCATGATATCATTTGTATTATTACTTCCCTATTACTTTTGATGATTTCTGTTAAACTTATAAAGATTATTAACAGTTACCTATATATAATAACAGAACATTATCTGTTTTGATTGTTATATAAAAAATTAAGAAAGTTGAATACATTTGTCAAAAAAAGCATGTATATTCCACACCCTATAATTTTCAAGTCTTGATATTTTGAAATAGAAAAATAAGCTTATAGATTAATTCTTTTATAAAACAATTGTAGAATGACTAACAACAATGTATGGCAAACATTACAGCTGTGCAACAAGCCATTTTTAAATGACACTGGAAATTCAAACACAATTTTTACAAAAAACTCGAAACCTTTAAAACATTCGAATTATAAATATTTGCACATAAAATTATCTTCCTTAAATGTACTGATTGCCGTATCAAAATGTTTATGGCACGTGGCACGTTACATATTGTACTTAATACTTTTGCAAAACATGTATATTTAGGAGTAAAGTTTCGTATAATGACGTGGAGTCATAGTCTTACGAAAGAACAGTTTTATTTTTTGTGTTCAATGGTGAATTTAATGTATGTGTTCAGTGGTGTGAATGACAAACACCACTATAGAGTGGGATGGATTAAGCACACAATTTCTAACTTGTGTTATGATGTATGTTATAAACAGGACTGCCAATGCTAAAGCCATCTACAAGACTTTTTTTGTGTTGTTGAACATGAAGTTGTTTTGGATGTAGTAAATCCAATGATGGAAGAAAAAAGTATGCTAGAGGTGTGAATTAAAATACTGGGGTCATTGTTGCAAAGGTTCAATGCAGTAATACAAGCCAAGCTTCAATAGTGGGAACATCAGTAGAAACATACACGACATCAAAGCTAGCCATTAAGGCTTAGTTGATGTAGTGTGTTTCTAAAACTGAAGACATCCTTAAAAAAGAAGTCTGTGGATGTTACATATGATGTGAGCATGCAAGCTATGGATCTGCTAAGACGTTAAAAGAATCATAAGTCATTAATATGGGTCATATAGAGCAGTCTGACTTGTGTGGGTTAGAAACACTGTAGAGTTATGGTGTGCATGAGTCAGTTTTATAGAAATTAGAACAAAGGTAATTAGGTATTAGATTATTTTTTCTTTATTTGTAACAAAGTTATCTTCAGTTGTTTTTTTTCCTGTGTGTTCTCTGGAGATGGGTTTGAATTTCTTTTTGGAAAAAATATTTTATTCTGTCAATGTATTCTGTATTATTCATAATTACAGTAATGTTGCCTTCATCAGAATTTAGAATTTTAATGTTTGTATCTTTCTTCAGATTATACAGGTATTTTATCCAACTGTTTCAAAGGTTACTTTTCAATTTACAATTTTGGTGAACTAAGTTAATAATCTTGTTAAATAATTTTTTTTTTTAATGTTTAAAATGCAGTTTCGGAACTTAAAAACAAAACATTTTGTTGCAATAAACTTTAACTAATTTCTGGTAGTTTAAGTCCATGATTTTTTTTGTACAGCTGGAGGTTGTTTGAGTTAGTGGTAGTTATTTGTTCTTTTACAAAGTGGGTCTTCTTCTAGCTTGATTTTCTAGGCAGGAAGCTGTTTTGTGGGATATGGTAAAACACAAGCCATAAATTCTGCAACTGATCCACACACACACACATACACTGGTATAGATATGTCAACAAGACTTTTGCTGCATTCCAATCAAACATATACAAACATCATCCATCCTAACATTAAACTCACCTTTAAACACATAAACAATAAATAATTATCTTTTCTTAACCACAAAATTATCAGATCTGACATGCAACTTAAAACCAAAATTCACTGCAAGAACACTCACACTGGCTTCTAAATCCCCTTGAATTCTGCTCATGAAACCAAAAAACCAATACATTGAAAAACATAAAGACAGTTTTAATACTGCTCAATAGACGTCACTGATGAAGAGATCAAACTTCTGAGGTATTTCTTTATTCACATCAACAAATCTCAGCCAGCTATTATTAAAAATAATTTTACACAACCACCAATACGAAACCTCAAACTCAACTTACAAACAAAATTTATACTAATCAAACCAACCAACCAACAACAAAATATTACACTGGAGCTTACAATTTATCCTGTTTAAAAACAACTTGCACATGGACAAAACTTGACATCAAACATAAAACTTCTGTCATCTTCAAATTCCCTCAAAAACTAAAATCCTTTCTAATTAGTAAAATGATGTCAAATTACACATAATATCAGTGTCATTTATAAAATAATTTGTAGTAACTTCCCAAAATGCTACATCAGAAAAAACAGAAAGAAAACTGAAAATTAGATTCCCTGAAAATAATAAAAAAATCCTCCCACATTTAGTACCATTGCAACTAAAAACTACCCTAGCATGTAATAATGCTTGGAGACGGCTTGAATGAGTAATGAAGAAAAACTTTAATATAAATTCAACATAGCACCAAATGTACAACATTTCGATAAGGTTTTGTACCTGATGATGACATATACACACCTATATACTTAAAATAAATTTATAAATAAATACTCACTAGTAATAACACCATAGAGCAGGAAAATATGGTGCATGGGACTCGTCTCTTCCAAAAGGAAACATGTGTTTCATTTACCTGTTATAGTGTATACCACGGAAACATTTAGAAAAAAAACATCGGTTAAAAAAAGGGGTTTTTCATAACTTGTAAGACATAAAGTTCAAACATGTGGCCTTAGAAAAAGAATCATAACAATGATTAAAACTGCTGTACTCTTCCTTGTGTACTCTTTTTTTTTTAATGGGTAAATAAAATGACAATTTAGTTATTACAACTTATACTCTGTTTATAACAAAAATAGTACAGAACTTAATAAGCTTTAAATGAGAAATGTTTCACAAAAGCATAAAAGTAGACATTTAAAACTTTCAATATCTAACAGTGCTCGTTCAAGGTCTTGGATTTTAAACATTTATTCAAGGTTCTTCATTACTTTTAACATCCATTTTCTCGACATAGCAATCTTGTAATCCACGTGTAGCCTATTTTTCTAAAGTAACTATTTCTTTTTTAAAAAATAATAGAGCATTTTGTAATATTTTATAACTTTCAATAATTTCAAGAAAGAGTTCGTACAAAAGATACACATGGTATGATATTTGTCTGATACAGTAATTTCAGTAACAATTTCAGCAAAACTCCAAAATTTGACAATTTTGTTGCATTTCTTCATAGATGTTTTTATTCTTGTTGTCACAGTCAGAATTACATTCTGATGATCAACTACAAGGATGTGATATCACCAGCAATAGAGACTTCTAAAAAACAAACAAACAAGAAAAGTGATGGAAAAAACTGATATTAAATTCTTTCTTCCATACTTACTTTAACAAAATGTCAGATTTTTGTTTTGATGTTTAATTTACACTACAAATAATGATATTCTTACACTTGTATTAGAGTTTTCTTTACTTGATAAATTAGCTAAATATTCTGGCCTTGGATGTTCCTGGTGATATAAAAAACAAAAGAAACCAAATTAAGATCAACAGTTCAAGTACAGCATCATATCTTTGTGTTAAAAACAATTCTACATATTTAAACACATATTTTTGAACACCTTTCTTGAAAGAGTAATTCTAAAGAACATTCAAACACTCTTTTTATAAAAACACTTTTGATAAAATATTCAAAGATAAATATTACAGAGTAGCTGTAAATATCATACCAGAAACAAAATTCTTGCAAAAATAATAACTCAAACTAAAAGTTAAAGCCCTGAGCACTCAACCAACTTGGGAAACAATGACATAACTACTTCATTTACTGTAAAATACGCAGGTGCATCAATCTGATGCATCTGTTGTCTGGTTTGTTTTACTGCATTTCAAAAAAACTATTTGATGAAATTGAGGTGAATTTTCTTCAGATTACGTCGATTTTATGATAATACAATATATTATATGAATTTTCAGCTTTGGATATTTTAAAAGGTTTCTTTGTAAATTTTTTTTAAGAAACAATTAACAATGCTTACTTTTGTTTTATACTGGATTTCAATTACTAATTATTTTACTTTTTTACATTGACAATTATCTTTACAGAAAACCTAGGGTTTCTACTGGTTATAAATAATATAATACTGAATGTCAGAGAGAACTACGGAACTACTGGCAATTCCTGAAAGAGAGGATGTGACATTTAGGCATGGCAAGAGGTATCTGATTGTTTATTTCATGGATCTGTAACCAAATAAGATTGAGGGCTATGAAAATTATGATTTGCCTGAGTGATGATGATATTATAATGAGTAATTTATGCTATATTTTGAACTTCTTGGAGGGGTGGTAAATACATTAGAGAAGAGGGGGGATGCCTAAAGAACTAGCTAAGGTCACAATTCTCATACTAGGGAAAATTCTAGATTTTTTTTATAAGAACTTATATACTATTAAAATATGGATTATTAGCTACATATTTTATGCTATATTTATTGTTATACCATCCGAAAGAAGTAGTTTAATTAAAATTTGAATGTAACTTACTAAAACCTCGTGATATGCACAGAAAAAGATGTCAGTGGGGAGAGGACTAAGTAAATATTCTTTTTCAGTGAATAAATTTCAACCATAAAGCATTTTAAAAAGTATGCGGAAGAACAACTACAGGTTTATAATCTATAATGTTTAACTTCCATAGTGTAGCTTTGTTTGCCCATAGGGGTAGGATGCACTCAGACAGGTTCTGCAGCATCAGACAAAAAAAAAGGCATTTAAAGAAAAATTATAGGGTACCACAAAAAAAGTGACCCACTATTTTTCTCAGAGAATAATAAAATAAATCATAGCATACAAAACAATGCGAATCAGATGCTGAAACAAAAAACACAGAGTAGATATAAATGATAAATGGAGATCAGTGAGTTTGATTGTTTCTTGATTTTCTTGCAAAGTTACCAGAGGGCTCTAATTTTGAAGTGGCAGACTAGAAGAAAGTGAACAAGTCAACACCATCCACAGCTAAATCTTGGGCTACTCTTTGCCAATGATCAGCGAGACTGACCATCACATCATAAATCACCAATGACTGAACATGAGAGCATGTTTAACAATGGTTTCAGTCCCACAGACTGCAGGTCAACCACCTTATCCAGCAGGCCATGCGGGACCCAGCTCATTGGGAATAAAATTCATTGGGAACAGTTCCACATACTTTTCAAAAAAGTGGAAAGAAATATGTTTTACAGGATTGAAAATTATAATACCAGCAGTCAGTATACGTGTAAATAAGGTGTGCAACCCAAAACGACACATGAACTTCTAACAGGACAAAACAGTGCGGAAAGTATAGCTCAAAAATCATGAAATAGATAAAACTAAATCATGAAAAGTTTCTATAATTCAAATGTAGCATTTTACCATACTGTCAAAACTTTATAAATCTAAAATATATACTGATAGATAAAACACAAACATTACCTTTTTACTTTTGCAGGAATTGCAAAAAAGGCATGAAATTGTTAAAATCAATAAACATGACTATTCATTAATTACTAAGGTAAAAGTACACATTACCTCTAAAGTGTCGAAACCAGTCATATCCCATAGGTGGGTAATCTTTGCTGAATACCTTTTCCACATTTCAAGAAATGTTACAGCTGAAAGTAAATAAACACTATGTGACAAAGTTTATCCTCAGTAAAGCTACATATCACAATGAAAAGGAAAATCTTCTTTAAACTGACACAGCTTATAATTTAGAATAATTAAGTCAACTATTCTTGTTCGTCAAAGTGCTAGTAATAAAAATTTACTTTATAAAATGTTTTCAATATTGTCTTTCAGGAAGCCGCACATTATACACTGAGAAATCTCTAAACAATAAAATGATTTTGGGGTTAGTTCAACATGCTTGATGTTAGTTTACAGTTATGGACATTTAAATTTCTAGCCATGTAGAAATTTGATGAATTTGATGTTGGTTTGGAATTATGAAGGTTTCAAGTATTGAATGTGTAGCAAATTCGATGTGCTTGATGTTGATTTGATGTTAAGGAGGGTTAAAGCTTTGAAGGTGTAATGAGTTGGAAGTGCTTGATAATGGTTTGGAGTTACGGAGGGTTCAAATTTTGGATGTGTAGTAAGTTCAAAGTGCTTAATTTTGGTTTGGAGCTATGGAGGGTTCAAATTTTGGATATGTAGCAAGTTGGATGTGCTGTGCTTGATATTGGTTTGAAGTTATATTGGTTTCAAGACTTGAAAGTATAGCACTATATGGCTATTATTTACTTTAAGTCCTAAACATATAGATTATTTCAACTTTTCAATATGAAATTGTGTTAAATATTTGAGGCTCCTGAAAAAGAGTTAAGCAAGAGGTCATCTATAAAGACACAAACTCAGTGTTTTTCACATTATCCAGAGGTATTCTATGTTAGCAATAGTTTCTGGACTTGAGAGTTTTGAGGTCCTAAAAGAGTGAACTTAACATCAAGTCTACGGTTTGTTCAGTGGCATTGTTGATTTCTGTAGAGTTTACAGTTTGTTCAGTGGCATTGTTGATTTCTGTAGAGTTTACAATTTGTTCAGTGGCATTGTTGATTTCTGTAGAGTTTACAGTTTGTTCAGTGGCATTGTTGATTTCTGTAGAGTTTACAGTTTGTTCAGTGGCATTGTTGATTTCCGTAGAGTCTACAGTTTGTTCAGTGGCATTGTTGATTTCTGTAGAGTCTACAGTTTGTTCAGTGGCATTGTTGATTTCTGTAGAGTTTACAGTTTGTTCAGTGGCATTGTTGATTTCTGTAGAGTCTACTGTTTGTTCAGTGGCATTGTTGATTTCTGTAGAATCTTTCAAGTGCCAAGCATTAACCTAGTTATTCCAGTTAAAACTGAGACATTAAAAACTAAAATAAAGCCTGAAGTAGAATACTAATTATTCCTCTTCATGTTAAACATGTAAATCTATATTCTTATAATACTTACCCCAAAGTGACATAAAAACAGCAAAAAATACAGTAGCACCATTGTCAAAAAGATGAGTTATTCTTGCAAAAGTGCATGTTTGGCCTAGTTTTCCAAATCTACATGCTTCTTTGTCACACTGAGGACACATAATAGTGTCCTTGTAGTCCTCACAAATATCCTTGCTGGGAAAAAAAATGCAATTTTTTAAGCTTTACCGAGCAAATAAAGTACAGCTGGCTAATTAATTTGATTAATCAATTACCTATAAGCATCTATTAGAACGATTAGTGTCATGTAAAATCATCAATTAAATGACATTATGTTTAAATCTATTTGTCACAAAGATAATCAAATCAAAATTAAAATTTAATCAACTGATGACAAAACATATCAACTAATCCAAAATCAGTGCTACCAATTATTACTCCTTGCAAATATTCCAACTGTTGCGTCAGGGGGTCACATGACTATTGTCACGCCGCCTATTTTCTAGAACTATCCTGTACCTTGGCGAATGCTCTAGCATT